TAAAAATGTATTTGTTGGCAAGGTAGTTCACACTTAGGTGGATCCTAAAAAAAACCGATGAAATTGATGGTTAAGTAGGGAACGTAAATACTTATAATGGCCCTAAAAAGCGCCAGTGGTGAAACTTCCAGGCTATTCTTATTCCTGATGATGAAGAGCTGGCTACGGTTGCTTGATTTTTACCCTGGGAGTCTCGATGTACGGAGACTGTGATGGAGGGAGGTACGCCGCTGACCAAAGAATATCTTGTCTCGGGTCGTTCCCTGGATAACCAACCGCTCATCGTTAGACGGGTACATGTGGGTAAGCGCATTGGGGACGCAACGACCAAGAAGGTAGCCGTTGTGGCTGCCCGTGCCTCCCAGAGCTGTTTTCCCTGGCTTACATTTTTAGCCAAAAATTTTCTGATGGCACCAGGCAGGATGGTGGGACTGCCACTAAACTCTGAAGAGTTGGTGCAGATTGTGCTCTGGCTAGATATGTTTCCTGGTATTCTGCCAGAGACGTCATCGATTGGAATGACTTTTTTTTCTTGATCGCACTCGTCAAGATTCAGGGTGAATGGACACCTAGGTCCCTTCCCCCTTAGAGAAGAGTATCGTCTGTAACCGGGATACCCAGCTGCAAGACTATCATAAGCATTCTCTATACATCTCGTTGAACTGCTGAAGCTCGACTACATCACTACTGAGACGCTCCGGCCTATTATAACCACACTTATTCAATTATGTTGCAGGTAGCTTCGATTTTATGTCGACGCCACCTAGCGGACTCTACTGAACTAAAGTGAAAAGCTGGCGTATTTTTGCAAAAGTTTGAGCGTATTTATTGCTATTGTTATTAAATATTTCAAGATGAAAACCATACTAAAACCATCTAGGAAGTATCATGAATTAGTGTGCAAAATTTCAACAAAATCGGTTCAGTAGTTTTCGCGGTTAGCGATTACAACGGTTTTAGCGCTTTTGCTTTATATATCAGTAAGATTCGATCTCGAATATTTAAGCGACAACCGAATCTCGCCTTTCTTCCACCCTCGGTTGCTGGGCGTCATACGATAATCACCTGATATTTTGGCATGATATTTACCTGATTTTCTCGTGATAATAACCTGATTATCAGCTGATTTTTACCTGATAAACAGCTGATTGTCACCAATTACACAGCAGGTGAATCAGCTGGTAATCAGGTGATTATCATGAGAAAATTTGGTGAAAATCTGGAGAATATAGTGCCAAAATATCAGGTGATTATCAGCTGATTATCATCTGACGCTCAGCAACTGGGCATCAATCCTGAAAGGTCCTTTTTTTCGCGGCCACTTAAAATCTTTTCTTGTTTTGTGGCAAACTATAACTGTAATAGCTTTCGTGGCAACCACTAATCGTACCCAATTGCATTACAGTAAACTGCGAATCGAAACTCTTTTCGTAAGTTTTGACGGTATTATCATTATTTTTTAGATTATTTTATGTGTTATACGGGCGAACCTGAGAGGCAAAGTGAGAATAATGAGAATTCCATCGAGCATGAAATTATTGAAGCTACAGAGGAAGAAGTAGAGCGATTAGTTGAACAAATGGAATAAGCTAAAAATAATGAGGTTATACAATCGCCATTTTTTTTAGAACATGATAGTCAACTTGTTGATGGATGAGTTTACAAAAAAACAGCAGAAGAGTGGATTCTAAAAGAAACACTCTGGAAGAATTACGAATGAAATAAAAGTGGTTTTACGATAAATAAAAAGAGAATGCCAGAGTAACTTCCTCATCTATTCGTTCCTTATTAATAAAACTTTTAATTTTGAAGCATGTGTTTATTATTTTAGGCTGGAAATAGAACTATAAACTATCATAACCAACGTGTAATTTTGTTTTTATGTATTCAATTTTTTTTGTAAAAAAAGTTATCTTCTAAATATCATAACTATAAACAACCCTGAAATATCCCAAAAATTCCGTGAAAATCGAACAAATTAACATTTTAAAAAATGTATTTTTAAAACACCAAATATCTCAATAAAAAAATTCTTGATAACGAAGCTCCAAGTTTTGTTTTTAACGCTGATATAAATTTTCCAACAATTAAAATAAGCATTGTTGTAACATATTGGTAGACAGGTTCTTAAGATGTAACTGATCCTTTATTCATTCATCACCCATTCATTCACACAAACAAACACACGAACATATTGATTGTAGTGAAAAATTGCTTTATTAACAACTATTGTAACATATATAACAAGTGCCAAGGTACAAAGTTCATGGAAAAACAACAATAATAATATACCTTTCGCTATACAGACTTTTATTTTGTAAGAGCTCGTCGTCAGTTCTCACTTGGACATATTCAAACTCTGGAGAGAGCTGAACAACAAAACCCTTATTTTAAAGGCGCATTTTTAAAACATGTCAGTTGTAAAATTATAACAGAAAAAAAATTCTCCCTACACAATGAGAAAAGCCTCAATGATGTAATGGTTAACAGTTTCAAAGAAAAATTGTATTTATTTATTTACATGCCCACAGTGTAACAACCACATTGCTTGTACGTCAAGGCTTTGTTATATTTGCTAATTGATGAAGTAAATTGCCAAAGTAGGAGTGACATTTCATAATATGATAAAGTACAAGACACACCTAACAATGAGCTTAACGAATGTGTTGTCAGCAGTATATACTGAAATAACTAATTTGTTTTTAGGTACTATTGTTGAACATTTTATCAACAGATCATGTATCCTCTTGTTGATGCTAAAAAGCAGCTTTTTCAATTCAGCCTTTGGACACTATCAACCTCAAATTTCAGTATATTTCTGATTTTTGTCGATACATATAAAATATTGGATTTTTTGTTGTTTATTTAATACACTGTACAGCTAATTAAAAATTGCATTATTATTAGTTTTTTAGATTCAGGAATAATGGTCTTAGGTTGATTCGGTTTGAATTACTTTGATTTATAGTTTGTAATATATTAAAAAAGTATTGATTTTTTACTCTAATAATTACCACCACTGTTACTTTTATTGTGTATGTAATGAATGAAAAGACTCATTTTCCATTTTTAATGTCAAACAGTGACAGCGTATAAAGAAAAGAAAAAACCTTTTGCACATGGGGTATGCTATTATTCGTTGAGCATATACGCACATCATCACCAGGAACGTTAGCAACAGCGAGTCAATCTATAAGACACCGAGCATATTATTATATTCAATGTTACTCCACCATCACCAGGTAAAGAAACACATGGACCCGAGCAGTAGGAGATCAAATAGGCTGAAACAAGCATGATTTTCCTGGGCGACTAAATCACCATCATAGGAAAATGGACTTATCCTGGACCAAACGTCAAGTCTGATTTACGAATATTTTATAATTATTAAAAATGAAATGTATTTGCATACATGTGATGACGATGTATAGACTGTATACTCACTCATGACAGTGTTTGCTCTTGACAGTATAGGCTCGACTAACTGATGCTGAGATTGGTGCATTTTATCTTGGAGACGACGTTTAGCATAGTGTAGTGTGTTTTGTTAATGATCTTATACATCATCCCAAGGTAAATAATCATGCACTATAACATTATGAGAAAATAAATGGGCACTGCAGCATTTGTAAATGAATGCTAGTATGTAAAAATAACATTTATTCTTCATTGTTATACTAATATCCTTCACGTTACTCTTAATACATGATGTTAAACGTCCTTTCTAGGAAAGAAGCATCAACCTCAGTTTCAACAGTTTGAATCTATACTGTGAATAGGAGAGCTGTCCTGAATGACTACATCATCTTCACCAGGAAATATACAAATACATTTTATTTTCAATATCCATCGACAGGCACTCTCTCACCAGCATGACGACTCCAATGCACAGTGCAAAGAGTAGTTGTTCTAAGGAAATATAAATCATGATCAAGAACGAAAAACAACCAACAATAGCAGCATGTAAAACCTGCTGCACGATACGTTATTTAGGGTATCAGCATCAACACCGAGAAAAAATAAACATACTGATGCTGTATATATGCCAGCAGGTGATGTTTCCTACATGGAATACATTGTCCTGGGTGACTGCATAGTCACCAGGAAAAAAATACTCTCTCCAGCACCTGCATTTTAACTCTTCTTCAAGAACAGCAGGTTAACCAGAGGGACGGAATCGTCGCATACTCGGGAAGATGGAGTTTCTATACTGGTCCAGGTCAGTCCAGATCGCGGATTTGCAAATTTGCAATAGTACGAAAACCGTATCGGCTGCTGCTGGGCTGACACATCTATATATACACAACATGTATAGCTACATCGCTATAAATACCTATTTATCGCCAAATAACCGAACGCATCTGCCCACTTAAAGGCAAATGGCGGAAAAGGAACTCTGTAGCTACGAGACTTTATGTCTCCGAGAGCTGAATTTGACTCTACTCAGTGCGCGTGCTCGGGTCCTGGATGCGTACTGCGCAGTCTCGGGTCAATTGACACTTTTGGATCGTTTGACGCTATCTCGCCCTCGGTAGGAGAAAAATAGGATTTGCTACATAAGCATCATCACTCTGTAGCTACCTTGCGTCCCTTGGGTCCTGCTTCGCAAGTTCCTCAGGCTGCAAAATAGCCCCAGAGGGCTCCACAATGGCACTTATGAGGCAAATCCTATTTTTCCTACTTAGGGCACACCTAACCCTCCAAAACGCGCGAGGTCGGAAAATATACATAAAAATAAAAGCATATTGTGTTGTAAGAAAAAAACTAACTTACGGCGTGGATTTCATTTGTAAGATCTAAGTATGAGCAGTGTATGTAAATGTATTTATTATATTGTGAACTCGTTTTGGGTGTCTCAAGATATGATTAATAAATAAATAATTAACTTATAATGTAATTAATCAATAACGATTTGCTCACCAACTCCATAATAGAGTCCACCCAATAATCCTTGAATTGAGCTATCGGTGGACGTGGAGGACAACTTGGCTGCATATGTAACAGCCGCAGTGAAGCTCAGTGACGAAGTAACCGATTCAAGAGCTTCGAAAATCAGTGATTGCCATGGTTGAGTAATCATCGAGTAGCCAACAAGTCTAACCGCGTAAAAGATAAATCCAATAAAAATAACGTTGGCGTGACCAAGCCTGTCGATTAAAGGTCCAGATAGAGCTAGCAGAGGAATACCCGTTATGCCACCTACGGTTATGGTCATGCCCATTAGGCTCATCGAGGCACCCAAGTCCTCGAGAAGCCAGAAGAGGAATGACTCAATGTAGCCCCAAGCAGTCCCTGAAATTATGCATTTAATACGTTTTTATTATTTATTAAGTAAATTATTGAGCTGCTCATTTGTTTAGTTATTTATGTACTTATTATATGTATATTTGTAATTTGGCTTTCATACGTTTTCCAAGATAGAAAATATCTAAATTGAACCCCACCAACGGAATAGGAAAAGTTAATATTATTGTGATAATGAGTAAAAAAAAAAACTGTTCAAAGTATTTGTTTTTATATGTAGATTAATGTGGTACTAGTCAATTATAAATAAACATAAATAGAAGTTATGTATCTCTTTTCTGCCTAACTGGGCCCTATTTGCAATCATGCATATTTCAAGTTCCATCAGAATATCTCAATTAGAGAGGAACAAGACACTGTGCTTTAATACTTAAAGGGGAGTAACTAATGTCAAAAAAGATACTTTTCAAGTAGAATCATAACTTTAAGAAATAGTAAGTTTGTTGGCACATACATTCTAAAGAAAAATACATTAAAAATTATAATATCAAATTTGCATATACAAGAACTTCAAAAAAGTGCATCGTTACTGAGAAACTAATCGTCATGATATTTGAAACATAGTTTTTAGAACTCTTCTTTGAAAAGTGATTTAGGATGGGGCTCAATTTTTATTATGCTTTTAGTGCTTGTCTCTTGATCATTATATTTTTTTAGCTATGGAATACTTGCGAGAGATAATAATTATGAGTAAGATATTTCATCTATTTGTATTTCTGACTTTCATTGAATTTAACTTTATGTACCAGATCTTGGCTGTAAACGTCAGTATGAATATTACGAATTAAATTAATTAAAGTTACGGCTTTTTCAAGTGCTACAGTCCGTGTGGATCATTCAAAAAATGGGATTAAAAAGTAGGGTGTACCACTTGTTATCCGTCATTATTTTATGATGGTTTATTTTTCAGAATTAATTTTTTTTTTTCAATTAGAAATAAGAGATGAAGATTAATATTTAAAGATGCTAAGACAGAAATGTGTAACCAGAAGCAACAAAATAGATGAATAGCTATGAATTCTTAAAAACAGGTTTAAAAAATTGCGGAATAACTATTTAAAATCCAAAATTTACAGAACTAAATATGTATAAAAAACGTGTAATACTACTAAAAGGAATACATTCTATGATTCTAGATAGATAATAAAAAGGCAAAAAAAGCGACATTTTAAGATAGTAATCAAAGACAACGAGATCAATATTGATCTTCATGTCTTCGTTAAAGGTGTGAAAAATGGAGAGGTAGAAAAACAATACATACGTAGAAAAGTAACACGTAGACCAATACTTAAAATTAAGAACAAAGAAGCTGAGGATTAGACAAAAATAATCAGTTAAAATTAAGAGCTCTCAAGATTTTAAGGCCAAAATGTAGGAATAAATAAACAAATAAATGAATAATAGAAACTCTTTTACGACAGATACAAAGGTTTGGAGTTTGTTTTAAGAAAAATATAAGTATTGATCCTGCAGTTGAAAAAAGAGTGCAAAAAAATAACTTTGTAATCTGTGACGTGATTCGTTACCTATCGTTTTCTGTTTCTGCTTTTTCAGATTTCTCGTGATAACATGACTTGTTCAAATATTTTTTTACGAAATTATAACAAATGATTTTATTAGTTAAATTATGAGAATAAAAATTGTACCTAAAACAAAGCAAGCAGTAAGTAAGGCGACAACCTCGATATTTTTTAATACGGAGACTACATCGTTGACAACATTTGCAGCTGGAGCTTTGAATTCAAGATTAATAAGTAGCATAAGAAAGCCTGAGAATATCTTTAGTACAGCGTAAAGATAAAACGCTGGCCTGAAATCTGTATGTCCTCTTGCTCGACTTGCATAGTCGATCAGCAATCCTGACAGCGGCGAGGATATAATACCACCGATGCTCCCGTAGATCCTCTGTAAACCATAGTCTGCTTTATGTTCTCTTAAAACTGCTATTACTGCACCCTCAAACATTGCAAACGCAGTGCCTCCAATCATGGCTAGCAAACAAAATTTAAATCTTTTATGATGGAAATATTTATTAAATGAATTTACGTCACAATCTTCAGCCTTACCTATGAAAACTCGAACACATAAGTAACACCAGAACGTGAAACTTACATCATATTCTATGACCATCTTTTTGTTTGTACAAACGTTTGTTCTTGGTGCTGTTAGAATACATTTTCTGATGCAGTCTTTAACAAATAGATCCTCGTCATTTTCATCGTTAATCAGTGAATGTGTAAATTTTAGCTCCACGCTCACTTGTTCATTTTGATAGTCATCTGCTGAACATATGCTTGTCTTGTTACCCTGATTATTCCAGTTAATACCTTGAACTAGATATCTTTGCTGCTGTTCATCAGTATCTTGATCGGTAGACCTTAGAGCTTTTACTGAAGCTTGAAGCTTTGGCAGGTCTTTCTCTTCATTTATCTAAAATGATTAACATATAATATTCTCTTATATGTGCTTCTTCATTATAGTAGAGCGAGATGAATTTTTCGCTATATATTTTAACTTTTTTTTCATTAACTGAATCATTACACATTTAATCAAAGTTTCTTACAGAGTTTGAAGTCAGGTTAAATTTACAAACAGTTACATTATCATCCGAAACAGAGTCACTCTCTTTGCAACTAAATTCAAAAAGCTGTGGCTTGTGGATTGGAAAGAACACAAAGTTCTTGGATAGCTGTCGAATGGCTATCCTGTAGAACTCCAAGTTCTTTAACTTTCGACTCTCCCTCAGATCCTCTGGTATTTTTAATTTCTAAATCAAACAAACAATATAACATACTTTTTCTAAAAATATTAAATAAATATTAAAAAAGCACAAATGAGTTGTAAATCAATAATTTTACCTCGGGCATATTGCTTTCAGAAATCAAATAGTTGAAACTTTCATTTTTTCCAGTTTTTGGATGGTGTACATGTACTTCATAGTTCCGTGACATAATCAAAGCCTTTAAGTATGTCTCGTTTTTTCCCACTACTGGACATGCATATCTAAATGTAAACATCGAAAAAAATGTGTGTTAACTATTGTTTACTTACTGACTATAAGTTTTCTAATATTTGAACTAATCCCGTTAAATATTTTTTGTTTAAGTTTCTAAGAAGGCCTATTCACTCCGTGCACAAATGGCAAAAATTGTAACTTCGATACCCAAATCCAATTAAAAATACATGTATTACAAATCCATCACTGTGACGCTAGGGTTGGTGAATACCTGTATTTTTAATTGAATTTGGATATCGAAGTTCTAATTTTTGCCGTGAGTGCACGGAGCGAATTAATATATTTTCGTTTTTCTGTGTTCAATATCACTAAAAGCTTTTTCAGAATCATTTACTGGTTTTAAAACTTTATTTGCATAGTTTTATAACGAAGAATCGTATTGCATGTGCCTAAACAAAACAAAAGTCTAAATTAAATAGAAGAGCTGATTTAAATATATTTTTTCGGTTATGATAATGTAGAGTCTTATTCATTACACAATTATTATAGCTAGACATAGAGATGTTGTAGAAGATGATACATTATGTATTATATTTAGATTTAACTGTTAAATAAAAATAAAAATGAAATACTAGGTAATAGAACTGATAAAAGTAAGGAGTTTGATGATGCAAAGAAAGTGTAAAAATGATAACAAGGATATTATCAAAAGCAAAAATAAATAGAAAAATTTTAATGACAAGAGCAATATTAAAACTAGACCAAAAGGAGATTTCAAATGTCCAGTTAGAAATAATGAAAACTAAGTGTAGTGTACTTTTTTTGTTAGTTATTGTTGCGCAGAAAATTTTAAAAGTTTTGATGTAATAGTAAAAAGTTAAGCGTCCGATAATTGAAATAAAAGAAATGAAAAAGATATGAAAAAAGTGGATTGTTTGAATAAAATTAAATCTTGGGTCTTAGTAAAAAAAGTTATACTTTTATAAAATTATATGGCAAACAATATAACTATAAGTATAAAAATATCTTCTATGAAACAATATTGTGTACAAAGATGGTCCAGTTATTGTATAAATAAATATACCCGCGTTAACCAAGTATAGTTTTAATTAATATCTTAATATTTAATAAATTAACGATCAGAAACAATATATCTGGGCACAATACAATATTAACAACTAGCAGCCCCCTGTCTCGGCTTCGCCCGAGACTTGCTAAATGGAACACCGTAGTGTATTGACATGTAATGTGAAACGTTTTCAGTAAGAAATTTTACATTTATTTCTGACACTTCTTAGAACAAATATCTTCTTACTAAAAACATATTTGTTAGCTATCCATACAGTTTATTTGGTCAAATAATAAGCTGTAAAAATTAAAAAAAATACAATTATGCTGAAAAGTATCGTGCGTTCTTTATGCCATACAATAATCGTTGGACATAAGGAGCGGTTGATTATCAGTTTCTCTCGTGTAATTTTCGAAAAGAGCTATTTTTTAAAGATTATTACCAGAGCAACAAAGTCCTGGAACTTAATCTCTACATTTTTTATTGCCACAAAAATACAAATATATTTTTTTCTTATTTAAAAACCTNATTCTCGAAAAGAGCTATTTTTTAAAGATTATTACCAGAGCAACAAAGTCCTGGAACTTAATCTCTACATTTTTTATTGCCACAAAAATACAAATATATTTTTTTCTTATTTAAAAACCTGAATTTAGATCTTTAAAGATTCAAGAGATTACTGTGAGGGTAAAATGAAAAGCTGATCTCTCACGTAATGGATTCTTTATTTGTCGATTTTTACGCTGCTGTTCCAATCTCGATAAATTTTTTGCGTCAGTTTCTTGACGCCTAAAATTGTATTCATTCGATACATTTAAAGTTTTCCTTCCAATTCACCCTCTTGCGACTTTTGTGATCCCTAAAGGCTATTTTCTGTCAATTTTGTTAAGTTCTAATATATTTGTTGGTAAGGTAGTTCGACGACCGATTGCCCTAAAAAAGATCGGTGAGTTTTTTAAGTAAACTCTTTTTTGACTAAAGTTTACAGCAAATGTGACTGCCTGGAAACCTCAGGCTGATCTTCTCTGGCCTGCTGTTGAAAACCCAGACTGATCGGGAGAAAAATTACAAAGTCCGAAGCTTTGGGGCTAGTTGTAGTGCTCTTTCCCAACGTCTTCCGGTATAATGTCGAAGACGTTGGTGTCTAAAGCACCTTTTTTATTTGCAGATTCAGTTGTTTTGGTGATCTTAGATGGGGAGATTAGTTAGTGATACTAGTCCAGTGGAGGCTGTCCCGTTGGCTCAAGTTTTTTTTCCTTCATAGCTGTTATAGGTTTGCCCAGCGCAGACCTTGGAGAGGATTGGTGATTCCTGGTTACATGCTTAGAGTCGAGGGGGTAATATAGGGTCGTCGGTCACCGGGGTTCCCAGCCTTTGCGACGAACAACTCTGCTTGTGACGTCTACCAGTGAATGTCTGACTTGGTTTAATAGTGGCCGGCTTTACGTAGTCTTTTAGTCAACGAATAATATTTCCGGAAATGCTAGTAAGCATGTATTTGTTGTCACGGTAGTTCAAACTTAGGGGGCCCTTAAAACAACCGATGAGATTGAAGGTTAAGTAATGAACGTAAATACTTACATTGGCCCTGAAAAAGGCCAGTGATGAAATTTCTAGTTATTCCTTATTATTATGCTTGATGATGGAGAGCCAGCTGTGGGTAGCTTGACTCTTACCCTCAGAGTCTCTGTGTACGGAGACCGTACATGAGGGAGATATACGCCGCTGATCAAAATATATCTCGTCTTCAGGTCGTTGCCCGGATAACCACCGCTCGTCGTTAGTCGGGAAAGTGAGCCTGGAGAATACCTTCTCTGTAGGTATGCCGTTGGAACGACCACTAAGAAGTTGGCAGTTGTGGCTGCCCGTACTCCTTAGGGCTGTATTTCCTGGCTTATATTTGTAAAAATTCACTGACAGCACCAGGCCAGATTGTGGTACGGCCACATAACTCTGAAGTGTTGGAGCAGGATGTGCTCTGGCTAGACACATCTCCTGGTATTCCACCGGAGACGTCATCGGTTAAAATAAATTTTTTGTTGGTGGCACTTGTTGATCCTGGAGGTTCAGGGTGAACGTAGACCTAGATCACTTGCCCATGGGAGAAGAGCGTCATCGGTAACCGGGATACCGAGCTGCACGACTATTACTGTGGCCAAGGAAGCACTTCGAATTACTTGACAGTAGAATACGCTCTCGAAATGTAACATACTTCGCAAATAAATAAAAGCGCACACAAGCGAGCGCTTCAACTTACTTAGGCTAAGACTCTTGAAATGTTAAATTATTAAGAAAGAGATAAATGAATGCTTGGCTAAGCGAGAGCCTTGAGTAATTGGGTATAAGCTGCTTAAAGCTTTGATTATTTATTAAATAAACAAAAGTGCAGGCAATGAACGTATTGGTTAGCTAGCGATAGTTAAATTCCTTCAAGTTTAGATAAAAGAAAATTTTCTAAAAAAATGTGCGAACAGAAGTTATTGCGTTACTCGAATTAGCTTATTATGCATGCATGCTTGTATGTAGTTACTAATATATAAATAAATATCTGAAAGTATTTAAAAACACAGTAAAAAATGAAGAAAAAAAAAATGGTAGTTTTCCTACGAGTTTGAAAAGTCTTTGTTTGCGAACCGAGAGGTTTGCGGCCTGAGCCGAAGGCGAGGGACGTAACGAGGTTCGTAAAGGAGACTTTTCGAACGAGTTCCGGAAAACTGCTTTTTCGCCCGAGGAAGTACCAGCCTCCCAAAACCACCCGAGGGCGGAAAATGTCATTCGAGTCATTTGAAGTCACGCAAAGACATACTTAAAAGTCTACTGAAAAATATGTCAAAGCCACCCAATAAACTTTTAATTGACTCTGGAGTATCCCAAAGTCTCTTAAATATTGCAAGAGCCCCGAAATGATATTGGACTTTTTGTCGACTGCACTTTTCCAGAAATGTTGTATCAATTACAGTAGGTACAATGTTTCTTCAACGCATGTGAGTATCTTTTATTCGAGTGAACCCCAAATTGTTTGCGTCGTTTANCAACACCTTCGAATTCCACGCCACAAATGATTTAGTAGTAGTAGTAGTACAAGCGAGTGAATTTTCCTTTAAGGCGTTCATCACACATAGGTTTGTTTGAACAGGTAATATTCACATAAAACATTTATTTGAAATAGTATAAAAAATTATTTTTAAAAATTGCTGATCTTATAACTGCACTTTTTTTTATGTTTAATTTAAAAAAATCGCAATTAACATGTAGCCTTATAGAAAAATCACGTGAAATTGCATTTACACGATTTGTAGAAATCTCCGAATTTTTTTGGTATAAAAGGTAACTTATAGATAAACCTATCAAATTTACAAATATATCTACAAGTTGTGTTTTAAATAAATTTAGAAAAAGGGGATCAAGTATGCGTAAGAGCATGTATGTAAGTACATCCACATGAGAAAAACAATTACCAGCTTAGCTGCTTATATTGACGCTCCTCTCACTTCTATAAACTTTTCCCCTGGTAACTATGTAAAGAACGTCCTTATCAGAAATGAAGAAATTGTAAAACAATAAAACACAGTAAAAATCAATTATTGTATTTATACAGTCCAATTTTTTTTTTCTAATTTTTGAAAATTTTGAAAAAATATGAAAAACTTATAAAAACAATTATTTGTTAATTGTTAAAGTAACAAATTAATATTAAGTAAATAAATGTNGAAATAGTAGTTTTCCTACGAGTTTGAAAAGTCTCTGTTTGCGAACCGAGAGGTTTGCGGTCCGAGCCGAAGGCGAGGGACGTAACGAGGTTCGTGAAGGAGACTTTTCGAACGAGTTCCGGAAAACTGCTTTTTCGCCCGAGGAAGTACCAGCCTTCCAAAACCACCCGAGGGCGGAAAAAAAAATTTAAAGTCTTGAACTCACGATTTCTGGTTCCAAAATATACTCCGTAACCAACTGAGCTAGTGCGCTACACGACTTAAGGGA